TATTGAGCTTCTCATCCACCAGTACTCCCAGTTCTCAAACACCAGTACTTCAGTTCCGGAGCACCTCCTCATCTTCCTTCACTGACCTTGGTGTCTGCAGAGTTGTCTCTCTCACACCTCAGTCCTCTCTCTGCTGCAGCCGTGCCAGGCCCGACGTGCCTGACGAGCTGAGGCAGCCCCGGCACAACAAGCTCTGCCCAGTGGGCACTCCAGGAGCAGGAACACAGACAGCCACCCGCGCCTTCCCCCTCTTTTCACTGCAGGTCCCACGTGGCACAGGTTTCTTTGTCCCATCTCAGTTAAATATGTTATTCATAGAGGCACTGACTGGCTCGGCCCTGGCCAGAGGCAGGTCCAAGTTGGAGTCAGGGAAGCTTCTCGCAGCTTCTTAAGAGGGGCTGTCCCTGTAGCCCCTCCCCATAAACCACATAAACTCAGCACAGTTTCTCACATCCCAGTGGAATTCCTGAAATGGACAGCATGCTAACTTCACTTTACAGGCTAACTGGGCAGTTGCTTCTGACTATTCATTATCCTAACAAGATGCTTGGGAGGTGTCTCCTCCTCCACCACTAAACTTTTCTTCTGTCCTCACAAAGAGTTGGGTCAAAATGGAAACATTTCAGAACACCATTACCACCACAGCCACCTCTAGTTTAACAGTGTCTACCCCTAGGTGTTTGGAGAAAGATTCAAATTAGAAGGCTGAAAACATCTGCTGCAGGAAATGAATGTAATGCTGAAAATTCAGCCCTTTAGACAGTAAAATAAGAAAATCTCAGCAAGAGGTATTTACCTGATAATCATTCCCCCTGTAGATCGCTTATTTACGAGGAATCACAAATAGATTGTATCCATCTACTGAGTTAAGAAGCAGTCCCATCTGCCAGCCAAGAACCATGGTAAAGAATTCTCCCCACTCCTCCTCTTCATGTCAAAGAATGTTTCTGCAGAGCTGCAAAACTGAATTATACGAATATGCATATTAACTAGATGATTCTTTCTTTCATAAATTCTCTAACTCATAATTAACTTTTAGCTATTAATATGCTTATTCGTATAATTTAGCTTCCAGCTTTCAAAAAAACTATGGTGGCAGGTAAGAAAAAGCCTGGGAAGCCAGTATCACGATTCCTGTTAAACAAACCAGTTTAGTTTCACACTTGCTGAAAAGAGGCTGTCATTGAACCTCACCATCACACCTCATTTGCTAATACATCAAAAGGCAAGTCAAAAAAATAGTTTTGAGGCTCCAGCCCAAATAATGTTTTTTGGATATCAATGTTTTACTGCAAGGCTAATGGAGGTAGTGGCTACATCCCTCAATATATTTTTACTACGGATTTTTACAGCGTGGGCAACTTTTTATTCCAGTTGATGGACTATTTCAAAGTTGCTATCTTGCTTCTTTGGACTAGATTTCATATGCCTTTCAGGCTAATTTCTTCCATACTCTATCTGTAAACCATGTTGAGCAGCTGCAGTAACAACAAAACGCATTTTTGCAGCATATTTCATATGAGGATTTCCAAGTGTTTACAAACAAACACACCTCAGCACACAAGTAAAATAATTCAGTATTATGCAAAAAGAACTGAATCTATTTTTGCACTCAGCAACATTCTCCCCTACTCAATCTGCAAATAAATAAGAGTCAGGAATTTGGAAAGAACTGAGCCATTAATCTTCAGATGATACAAGTATATTGTTTTTAGTTGAGTATTAGTTCTGTACTATGGTAACTACAGCAACTTATTTCATCAGAATTATGCAGATGTATGTTGATATCACCACAGTAAATGATCAGTCATATTTCTTATCATTATACAGTTAAAACAGCTTTGAATAAAATATAATTTCAAAGCTGCCTTGAGGTTTTTAAGCTCATATTGTTTTTTGCTAATCCAATTTGCAATCCTCCAAAATTTTCAAAAGTAAGAACATTTACCAAAATGAGCAATGAATTTAAAAAAAAAAAACTGAATTTCATGCACATGGCTACAAAAAATAAGTTAAAACTGTTTACATGCACACACATAAAATTTCACCCCTAAAAATAGAGTGAATAATTAAAAAGCACGCTACTATCTCAACTCAAACTTAAAAAAAATAGTTATATTTGAAAAATTTCAAGTCATTTTTACAACTGGAATAGTTGAGGTGTTGAACGTTAAAGTTCAAGGTTCATCTAAGAAATATCAGAAAGCTTGCAATGAATCTATCAGTTTTTCCTGGTTAGAGACAATACTACCAGCCCTCATGTGCAAAAGCACATATTATGTACTAACTGATGATTATGAGTTTATGAAATTAGGTTAAGCAATTAGAATATTAAGTTCTTAATCAAAAATACCAGTTTTAGGCGTTCTTTTCTCCTCTTGCCAAAGGAAGAGCTTGATGATCCAGGTTCTGATTCTTGGCCTCCTGTTTTACCATTATCATCCTCCTCCTCTTCATCTTCATCAAAGCACCATTCTGGTAGCTCAGGTGGTGACGGTGCATCATCTTCATCCCCATAACGACGAAATAATTCCTTCAAATAGTCACCTTTATAAATACCTGGTGGTCTAGCCTGAGCAAAAGTAGCCACAGCAGCCTCAATACTGTCAAACAAAAATTGAAAATTACTCTGGATGCTTAATTTTCATGGTTAAGTCATATTATGCCTTACCAAACATAAGATTTATTTGGACTGAGAATTAAAACAAATTCCAAACTGGTAATTGCAAAAACATCCATTATATTTGAAACATCATGCTTAGAGCAGTCTGGCGACAGTTGCTCTTGCGCAAGATTCTGCATAATTATGTACGCACTGCATATGTTCCCAGAAGTAACTGCAGCTTACACTGCTTCATCTTCTTATTGTAGCTAACAGTGGTCTGCTGACCGTGACAGTCACCCAGGTAAAACTTTCATTATTGCTACAGAAAAGGAATGGGTGACATGTAGGTAAGTACTTAAGGACTGAATGAAGACAAAAAAGACCAAAGAAAAAGATGAACAAACTTAATGAAGAAAAACGCAAGTCTTGAAATTCAAATATGGCTAAATTTTTCCCCCTAAGAATTATCTTTCCTTTCATTAGAGGTTTTGCCATCTCACTGGGAAAAGGCATCCTAATCTTTTGAAATTACTTCTCTTTCCAGAAGTTTCTCATAAACACTGTAATTCAGCAGACTTTTACTACGCAGCTAATACTTAATCTTAAGTGCTTTAGTAAACTGGAGATTGGATCACAAAAAAATTAGAAACTCAAACTAACAGTCATGCACCTTTACCAGCCAACTGGAGAGCACTCAAAAATATGCAACAGCAATCACAGCACAAGAGTTTATTGTTGCTATTTTCACAGATCCTATGAAAATGTTTAACAGAAAACACTGGACATAATTCTGTCTTCAATTTATCATGGCTGCATGGAGCAGTAATGTTCCATGGATCAACATTTAGAAATCTTGCAAAATAGAGGAGAAAACACAAAACATACATGTCCCTGTTAGGCTTCTTGACAAGCACATATCTTAAAACTAGAACAAAAGCACATATTGCATGCTGTGAAAATAATTTTTTTCAGATAAGAAAATAGCTTACCACAGTAACAAGGAACATATACGGATAAAATGGAAAAAGAATTTAAATACAAAAGGTATTTTTTTTGTCTGATCTGTACAGTATGGGAAGGAGCCTAAGAACTCTGGGGTAAATTTCCCAGAATAGACAGAACACTTCCTAAGAACCAGTAAGTCTGGTTCTTTCTTCTGATCTTTGGTAAGAACAGAAAACAAAACATTTTCCCAAGTGAGACTATCAGATCGTTGGCGATCAGATCTCAGAAATGACAGTTTAAGAATCTGAGTTATTTAGAAGGAGCTTTTTTTTCCATCCTGTTTTCTAAGACTCCTAATTTCTTCCTCACAAGACATTTTTTATTTTGGTGTCTTTCTTAAATTGTCTCACATCTTCTGTAATCTATGCCATTGAAAGAACAAAACAAACCAAAAGGGATGAGGCCTGAAAGTCACTCATACTTGTCTCTGATGATATTAGAAGAACTCTATCCTATTTTGGAATAGATGGCAATGGAAGCCAAAAGAGGCAGCACAGATCTCAAGCACAAAAATCTAGCTGAAAGAAAACATATTTTTCAAGTTCTGGAAACATAGCAGTCTTTGGGGAAAAATGAGTTGTGAAAAAGAGAATCAAGTAAGGCCTCTGACCACTAGCTGGAGAGCTTTCAGTCTGGATGACCTTTCTTTAAACTAACTATAAAATACATCTCGGTATTCAAAATACATCAGCAGCACTCCTATATCATATGCTTAAGGAATTACCATGGATGGGTTTTTCCATAAAGAAAATCTTATTTCCTCATCAGCAAATAACAGTTTAAAGAATGATACAACAAATTGGATTTATCTTGATACAATGCTTAGCATTGACAACCACCTTACTGAAATTCATTCTTTTGCTGTGGACATTTTTTCCTCTACCAGGTGATATCTACGTGTTCTGTTAAAAAAAATCTGACAGAGATGAACAACCTTGATACAATTAACTATTTGAATGAAGCAAAAAGAAATAAGACATGGCTGTTAAGTTTTAAGGCTATCCCACAGAGGTTTGAAAATAAAAAGAGACTGCATGAAAACAGGAGATTCAAATAGATTCAAGTGTATTTCCTCTTCAGAACAAAGGACCAATTCTGACTCTAATTATTGCATGCTGCTTTTAAATTTTTAGATTAAAAGCATACAAATTTGCTAGTTCATAGGAACTACAATCACACTACAAAGATATTTGTATCTTTGTCTACTTCCTATACTCAGCTAAGATTCTGCCAAGATTCAGCCATCCACTACTAATGGTGTTCCGTCTCCATTACTCCAATGTTTTTATTCCAAGTTTACTAACAGACAATAACGACCCATTTCTTTGCAAACAGCTTGCATATACATGCTAAGCACCAAACAACTGTATATTCAGTCATAAGAAAACGCTGCAGCAGGAGTAGAATTTTCTTCACTTAAAGGACCATACAAGAAATATCACCAGAATGCTTAAGGAGCTTGCTAAGAAATATGCCTTGCACGAGACATCATCAGCCAGGAAAGAGTAGTGGATACTACCAAACATGGACAAGTCATGCAATTTTTACAGGCAATTGTTTTTTACACTAATGTTATTCAAAAAAGATCACTATTCTTTACGAAGGCACCAAAATTTTTAGATCACAAAAAACCCAAGTGAGTCTGTAAGAAAAGCAGGCTGCAGACTTTAGTCAAACAACAAGCTGGAAACAAGGACTTTGTCTCCCCTCAATCCTTCAGAAGCAAGTACATCACTGCTGCTGCTCTAGCTAATCTTCAGAACTCAAGCAGCAAAAGCCTATATGCAAACCTACATGAAAAAGATGAACAAGTAAGAGAAATAATGTTTCAGCTATCTCCAAATTATACATTTTTACTCAAAATGTGGGACATGTCATGGGAAAGAGACACAATACAATATATAACATTCCTAAAAGCCCACAGACAGCAGGTACAGCTGACTTTTTATCTATTGGACCTGGAAAGCTTGACTGAAACAGGCTAAGCTACCACGGGACAGTATGAGTAACGTTAATGCTGGTTGTTTGCTCAAGATTAGTAGGCAGTTTTAAAATAACAAACAACAAATACATTAGGATAGCTGTCAGGACAACAAGTGAAACATACTGAAGATGCCTTTGGTCACTCTCCACAAATCTCTAGGAATTAACATTCAAAGTTACCTCCAGTCCAACTTCTCGACCAAAAAGGCACAGATCAGAAATCCAGTTCTATTGAAACCATGTGTGCAATGGACACCTAGAACAGACAAGAAAAGGGGACAATCATTTGCAAGTGGTTTAAAAAACATGCTTCAGTTTCACAAGTGTGATTTTTGGATCCTTCTACCTTTATCAGTAGCATTAGAGAGTTATTTCCCCTCTCATCAAGGCAGCCCAGATCATGTAAGGCACATAAGCCTAAAAAGCAATTTATTACATTCTTTCTGCAAATTATGATCAACAAAGAATATAGGATACTTCAGTTTACCCCAACTCAAGAGCACTAACTTAATGCAACAGAAATATGGCTAATACAGAAAAGAATCAAAGTATTTTTTGACTGCTCAAATGCTTATCAGATGACAACACAATCAAATCCAATAATTGTGCTTTTAGTGGATTCAACAAGCATTACATTCATTTCACACATCAGGCATAAAAATCACATTTACCTGGTTTCCACTGAGACAGAGTTAGTTTTGCTTTTGAGCAGCTAGAAGAGCTCTGTGTTTTGCTTTTAGTCTGGGATTTGCTATGAGAAGAATGTCGATAGCGCACTGGTGTTTACAGTTCATAACTGAGACCTCAAGGACTTTTCAGCTTCCCATGTTTTTGTCAGCATGCAGGAGCACGACAGGTTGGGGGGGAGCGTAGCCGGGACAAAGGGTCCACAACTCCCCTTATGATTTGAACTTAGATTTAGGATTGAGGGCTAAATCGGCCAATGAAGTATTCCATATCATGCAGTGTCATGCCCAGTATGAAGGTGAGCATTGACCGGAAAGAAGGGCTTTTGCTCTTCTAGGGGCTCTCACTCTTGGGGTCCTATCTCTTATTCTCTTTTCACTCAGGACTTACCTGTTTTGGGATTGTTTGCTGGGACGGGACAGGCATTGGTCACCAGGTGGCAAACAGTTACAGTGTGCATCATTTGTTTGTATACACTATTATATATACATATATTGGTTTATTATTATCATTAAATTGTTCTTATCTCAATCCACAAATCTCCTTCTCTTTTCCCCTTTAATTCTCTTCCCCATCCCTTGGCAGTGGGGGAGGGTGAGCAAGTGGCTGTGTGGCATTTAGTTGCCAGCCAGGCTAAACCAGGACACATAACCAGATTACCCTACCTCAAACCTGAAAGCAGTGTCAACAGACCACAATTCTGTTTCAAATTTGCTGTTACCATGCTAAGACCAGACTTATTAATTTTGGCATACAACAGTACAATCACCTTGAATTACTTATCTTTTCAATGTAAGAAAAAAAGAATTAAGTTTTCAGCCTTTATTTTACTGAATTCATCCCCCAGTGAAAGGAGGAGGAAGAGTCAAATGCATTGGAACTGGTTGTTTTGGTTTTCTTTTTTCTCTCAAGGCAACAGCACCATCTAGTGCTAAACAAACCGGACTGAAAATTTGTGCTATTAAAAATGTCATGAAAGATTGATTCATGCAAGATGTTGCCTCTTCCTCATACTGCATTTTAAATTATAAATATCAGAGTATTACAGATTCCACTAACATCAAATGTAATTATTCTTAATATTAACATATTTTTCAGTTGCGATGATCAAGCAAGTTTCTTAAGCTTTTATTGATTTCCTTATTTCTCTACCATAGCTGGTAAAGTAAATTTAGCAACAATTCACTTGCTGCTTATTCATACAAAATGCAAACACCTGTTTTTTTCTATACGCTCCCCTAATCTGCAACTATCTATTTTTTTTTTTACTGGAGATCCAAAAAATGCCTACAAGGAGCAGACTGATGAAAACCAGAAACTTTATATGGGTAAACAGAAATATATATAAAATATATCAGGGTTGGGTTTTGTGCCCGCCTCAAGTTTCCCTTCTTGATAAAGCAAGTCAAAAACTACTAAGAAATTATTGGATTCGTCCATCCTAACCATTTAATAAAATTAAAAAACGTAACCTGCCTTAAACGAAACAAATTTTAGCTTCCTTATAGAATTTGCTCCCAACAATCAATTCTCCTTTGTTTTCAGCTTAAGCAAAATTTTTGCATCTTGTTTCCTTAAGGTTGGCAGGTATACTCCAGTCCTTCAGGTTGCAAAACTAAAGTTTCCATCCTATATTGTTTGAGTTGAATAGAAAATCTTGTTCACTTATCATTCGCGTTTCAGTCTCTTCACATCTAATCTTGACACTGGAAATGAAATCGCACGCAATTGCTATCAATAAATCCTGCAGCTGTTACTGCTACCAAGAAGGTTAAGTCAATAATTTTATACACATGGCAAAGATAAGAAGTATCTTGGCAATGAGACCAACGGCTTGGAAGTGAAAGATCACGCAAGGTTCAGAAGTATCACTGCTGCAGACTCCTTTCACTTTTGATAAAAGCATCCTTCACACCAGGCCCTCTGATGCTCTGTCAGAGGAAACAAATGTCCAGAACCAGAATCAACTTTTCAGTAATTCATGGAAGGGAAATGGAAAATCTCAACATTTCTCTTTTACTATGAAGGCCTAAACCACAGGTTATTTGAAAGCTTAGTCAACGTATTACTTTCTTCTTGACTCTTTCTAATTGACTTTTTTTCCCATAGAGCCGAAACAATCTAAATAACAGAAGAACATTCCAAAATTCACAGAAGTCAAAAAGAAAAAGTTGGTGACTCAACACTAAAAACGAGATTTTAAAAGTTGAAATAACAGTTCAGCGGTCTGCTATTTATAGGATATCACCATGCTATTAGTGCTCCATAAAAATTGCTGACCATAACAATATTTCAAATTCTGAAATATCGTTGGAGGATCAAGTGGAGGAACTGTGAAAGGAGAGTGAAAAATGAGAAACTGCTAAATGAGAGTGAGTGGGATCAGTCATCAACAACATTTCAAGTTCTGGTGCAAGTTCTGAAATATTGTTGATGACTGATTCCACTCACTCATTTAGCAGTTCCTCATTATTCATATCACATACCTGCATTACAGTTTAGAGAAGAAAACAAACTAAAATTGCATTCTATGTGAAAAAGAAATAAAAGAGTAACTAAAAGAAAATTATGTGAAAAAGAGTGTGCCCAAATTAAAACTCTGAAGCACTGAAAAAAAAAAGTAAGATTCTCAGTGGTATCCTGTGAGAGGACAAGAAGCAATGGGTAGAAATTGAAATACAATATATTCTATCTAAACATAAGAAAAAAATCCTGTATATTGTAAGGGGGAGTAAACACTCAAAAGAGGTTGCCAGATGATGTTGTGGAGTTCCCAAGCTTGGAGATAGTCAAAACCCAAACGGGCGCAGTCCTGAGCAAGCTGCTTTAGCTGGCCCTGCTCTAAGGAAGGACAACCGACTAGCTGATTTTCACAGGTCCCTTCTAACAACCTCAACTATTGTACAATTTCATGATTCTGTGTGAATCCTAAACTGTATGAACATACCAACTTAGTTTACAAAGCTCTTATCAATTACACCTACACAAACAACTGTTCCACGCACTCCTAAGTCACACAGCCACGCAGACTCAGGAAGGTTACAGAATTATCATGGAGGAGGCTTGAGGACGACATCCATTCTGACTCCGGAAACTCAGCTGCAAAATCTCTTGTCTCTGACAGTTTGTAGATAGAGCTGAACATTAATATGGTTAACAAAAATCAAAATAAAATGGTTTTAACTAAAACTAGAAGCAATTCAAATTAAACTAAGAACTTACTTTGCTCTCGGTAAAAAAAAAAAGTTATCCTTAAGAACATTCATATATTCACCGTGAGACAGTACACTACAGAAAAAAAAAAAAAAACTTAGTCTAATATCTACTACCAGTTTCCAGTAACTAATCAGCTGCTTTGTGAGATTTGCTAAAGAATCTCTGATCCTTCAGTTATCAGATATGACTTCAAGTAAGCCACATCATCAAATCCCAAAACAATACTCAGGCAACACATAACCTGCATTTGTACCAGCAGAAGTTACAAAAACACAAGTATCATATACTTGTAGACAGTTCTTAAGCTTGTATATTTTTCCACATTAAGTCCATTGCTGTAATCAAACTGATGGATGCAGAAACATACTAGCTTCTGTAAAAAACTAGTTTCTGGAGTAAGAGCAATCAAATCTATATATGCATAAACACTGTACTGAGGAAATTCCTTTGCTTAGACTCTTAAGAACAGGAGACTGCAGTTATGAGTAAATATGAAATAAATTAAAAACTAATGATAGATGTAAGATGTATATAATGGATGTAAGAAGACATACCTATAAGCTCTGAGGGATTCTTATCACTGAAGTGTTCACATACACGGATAAATGTTTCTGTATTCTCAGGTGTAGGGCACTCACCATGCCTGAAAAAACACAGGAACACACAGATTAGGAGACAGCTGCAGGAAAGGGAGGAGAGAAAAAAACAATTACTTCAGTGTGATCTTTCAAATTAAAAGCTAAATATTAAAAAAGTGCAGACAACTTACCCCTTACACTGGAGTTTTATATATTTAATCCCCTCTTTCTCTATATCATTCCTATCATAGAATCTAGTGGTGTTGGTCAAGTCTACCAGTAAACCCATTTTAACCTAAAAAAAAAAGCAAAACATAAAAAATAAAGTAAACTTATATATGTGGTTCGAATATCAGTGCATAAATACTAAAAGGCTAATAACATCTAAATTAAAAGCAGCAGCAGGCTACAGTTGCAAGTTTAAAAATACTTAAATATTGCATTTGTTCATAAAATCTATATTTTACCACGATCACAGTCATCTGTGTTTCTTTGTGAAAGCTGGTGTCTGAATTAGCATTCAAAACCTTCAGTTTGTTCCCACTGGTGTTTCTAAATAAGAAAGATCTGCTAATAGCAGGAAAGTATCTGGTAAAGAACTATTTTAACATGTTAAAAGACAAATAAGGTGGAATCGGGTGCTCTTATGCTTTAAGTAGAACAATATTAAACACTGGCACAGTGGAAATACCATAAGAAAAATTAACTACTGAGAATTACATATACACTCTTGGACAAAAATAACTCAATTTACTCATCCATTAGAGTGCAATGCAAGCACGTGCATTTTCAAGTTTAAAACAAAAATTCCCTTAAACTCTCAGAAACATTTTATTCAAAGTTGAAACGTGAAAGAACTTGAAGTTTTTAAAGATGCTGTCAGTAATTAAGGCAGCAGTGCCAACCACTCAGATGTTAGGATGTACCCAAATTCAGGCTGCCCTGCCCACTCTACCCTAAAGTGTTCCCTTGTGCATAAACTTACTTTTTTAGTGTTTGGTTTTCATAGCTGTAAAACAGGTCTTTTAAAGCAGCTTTGTGGAAATTCTTAAAAAACAACATGGAAAGCAGAAATTCCACTGGGTGGCATTGAACACACAGAGAACATCAGCAAAATGCATCCTACGGATCCTTGATCCAAACAGAATTTCCATCAACCTCCCAGTATTACCGTGCAAAAACAGCTCACTATGACAACTGTGTGCTGAAAATGTTCCTGATTTTGTGCCTTATAAGCGCAAGTAACTGCTTTTGGTGAAAATGCTCTACGTCATGCTTTCAAGTAGATTCTCATCATGAAATCAGATGTCTTTCTAAAAGTCATTTTACAAGTGGTATTTTAGCAAAATCCTTGTTTCATAGTTTTTGTCTTCTTTAGAGATACATCAATAGTGCACTTAAAAATACATTAACACTGAAGCATGTTATGCATGCAAAAAACAGAACGCTGTATCTTCGATATATTTAAAACTCCAGCACATACTCATAAACAGGATTTTGATGAGGTTTTATTCACCTTCAGGTCAACAGACTGGCAATAATTTAGCCGTGCAGTTGGAAGAATTACAAATTAAAACACTGCCTCCAGAAAATTCAGAAAAGATAAATTCTAATTATAACTGGAATACAGCTCAGCAACAGCTGCCCTACATGGATATGTTGTTCAGTAGACCCCAAAGACAAATTTCCAGTTATCTACAGAGGTACTTATCCAAGGTATTCAAAGTTCTGATTATATACTTCAATAATACTTTAATAATACTTTCACAATACTTTTATTTATCAGATATTAAAAAGCATCACAATTTTACGTCAGCAGCATTTGTAATGTAATATCCAAATTGGTTCTCCTTGTTTACTTCAACTTTGTATATTGTATTCAGAATGTTTTCTTTACTTTTATTACTGTGTTTTGCAGAAATACAAGCTCCTTCAGTAGGGGTCCTCCTGAAAACAATGTTGTGTCACCTGAAAGTTCAAATATTTAGTGTCAACCAAGCTGCTAAACATGCAGACTGATAGCATACTAGCCAGTGATTAATTTTGTAGGATGCATACAAAAGACAATTAATTCAATGATTACTTTTCACTCTCTCCATTCTCAACAGCATTTAGCAAATATCTCAAAGACTACTTAACTCACAAGCAAGACCACATAAAATTTCCAGGTGTTACACACCACAGGTCCACACCACTGCGACACCAACATAAACCAGTTTAAAATAACTGTTCAGAGGAGAATGACATATTCCCACACCAGTACTTCTAGGTGATCGTACAGGACAACATGCTAGGACAGAAAAGTACATCTAAAATGAGCTAGTTCTATGAAAACTACCTACATGTTTTTCTACAGTTCTACACAAGCAATGGCTCCATGGAGGAAATCCACAGAGTATCTTCCAGTAACATGCTCCAAAAAAAAGCATAAGAGTCTCCCTTTGTGTTCCGCATCCTATCAATAGCGTCATTGGAGTTGGCAAAAAGTCTGACAGGAGAATCAGATGTGTTTTCACCAGAGAGCTCTAGACTATGAAGCCACATAAATGGCCCCTTAACTCCTCTCCTCCCCAACTTCTACATAGCTCAGCTTGAAAGCCTATTCTTTTATGTACGATATGGCGTTAGGTGCAATGCTTCCAAGATGTCTTCAACTAAGAGGGAAAAAAAGTTATTTTCAAAGTAAGACTAAGATTTAATGAAAATACCATTTTAAAGTAAAGGTTTTTGCATTTAGTTCCAGTCTACTGAGAAAGAGACATTCCAGAACGTGAATTACTCTCGAAAAAAAATGCTGTATCATCTGACAGTCTGGAGGAAAGGAAAGTCAATTGTGAGGAAAACTACCTTCAATAAAAGCATGAAAACAGATTAAAAGGTAACACTGTTTAATATAACAAATTGTTAAAGGAGAGCTACCAGAAGAAATGCAAGTGATTTGCAGAATATAGTTTCACATCCTCTCATCCAAAAGTAAGAGAGACACAATTCCGTTTTAGCGTTGAAAACTCCAAGCCAATTCCCAACTCCACTGTTCTCAAATACCAGCAGCTTCAAGTGTTCTTATCAGAAGCTTCCAAACTTCCCCAAACTCCTGCTACAATGAAGAACTACCACCAAGAACATCTAAGAAAGCACAAATGTTAATTTTATGTCAAAGCTTTTAAGCTCAAAGAATACTCATATGCTTTTCCCTCAACTTTTAGAAATCACACTATTACTCTTTTGAACTCACTCACTTACAGATTTCAGTTTCCTGACTGACATGTAGAAGCCAGGAGATCACCACAACGTACTTCAGGCTCAAAATGTCACCAAGCACTTGGGATGTTGCATTTAATTGGAATAGGAGAATGAAATATAGCAAAGTTCTGCTGGAGAGGAAATTCTGAACTACAGGACTCTATGACTTCCAGCCTGCTATTCCTTTGCAATTATTACGAATCATTTCAATCATACACAAGTGAAGATCTTGTGAGGTGACACTGTTCCTCACACACTTCATGGAGCAGTAAATCAAACAGGCATCCAATATAATTTAGCCAAAGCTATAAAAGCATGTGTGGCCTGAAAGCAGTTTCCTTGCTTCACAGAAAGCACAAGCATTTGTTCTCTCAGTTCACAGGATTAGCCGCACATAACACATTACAATTTAGAGAGCAGAAGTCAACAGAACAAGATGCAGAAATTTAAAATAAAAGTGAGGGGGATTATGTAACATATGAAAGCATAATATTATGATGTTCAAAAAAAAACATGTGAAAAAAAACACTGGTGCCACAGGAGTAGAAACATTTCAGTCACTGAACCGGGGTTATACTATGCTCTTCCTGACAGACCACAATTGTCATCTACAGAATAGATTCTTGTACATATGTTCACCAGACAGGCGCTTTGCTCTGCTCTGAAACTCTGACATCACACCAGTCATCACAGTAAACCTCTTGGTCATGCTCTCATAAGTTTGCTCCTAGAAGATTCTTAATAGGAACTGATTTTTGGAAGACTATCTAAGCTAAAATAGGTAGTCACTCAATGGAAAAAACTTTTTCCAGCCAATGTTTTGTATGAACCACATCTTTCAGTCTACCACACCCACTGAATGACAGAGCTTTGGACAAAAGAATAATTTAAAATTGTTGAGCAACTTCTCACTAAAACATACATTTATTTCTTACAAAGACTGTTGCAAAACTACAATCTTAGACACCAGATTGAAACTAGCTCTTTTTCTTGCTTCTAATTGTAAAAGATGACTGGATAGAAGGAAAAAAAAGCTCATTGACAGCTTGAAATTCTCATCTACATACAATAATACCAAGATCTCCATACCATCTCCATTCTGCTCATACTTACTTTGGACAAGCTCTCCATGTCCTCCTACGGTTATAAAAGCCTTCCTCCTCACTTTCTCACATTCCAACTATCTTCAACTATTAATGCCTTATTCATGCACTTTTCTGCTGCTGTGCAATTAAATGGGCTTAGCTATGTTCCCCTTGTATGACCCCATAAGTTTCTCATTACATGTTGGAACTTGAAAACATCCTCCCCAGGAGGGAGGGAGCATACTACAATACAGTGAATTCTCTCCAGTTCTAGGATTTTTTTTCTTGCATTTCTTATTTGAGGAAAATAGTTTAAATCAGTGACTGAATTTATCTGTGAAAACAATCATGTGACTGAAAACTGATAACTAGTTTTCCTAATAGGAATATTGTAAATCAAGCACACTAATTGCCCAAACATTCTTTTGAGTTAACTAAGGTCCTAGATTTTTCATAACAGAAATAGAACTACCTTTTATAAAGCATAAACAGTACTTGCCTACCTACTCAAGAAAGAAATAAAATTTTAAAATTATTCACACTTGGCAATTGATCCTGAAAATTTTTTTACGAGACCATTAAGATACTATGTGAATACTGGCAACCAGAAGAAAAACAGGGTTGCTATCCCTTGTCAAATCAGTTTCTAACATTCAGATTTTCAGCAACAAGCTCCATGAGAAAAAGGAATCGCACAGAAAGCTTGTTAGATAAAGTTCCTCCCAGACAGATACTGTCTTAAATGCTGAACCAGTACCTTCAAAAGATCTGTGGTAGCAGCAATATCTCACTATTACTGAAATCCAGATGTAAAAGTTACCGCTGAAGTCTCTTATTTGGGAGATCAATTATATGGACTTAAGTAACAACCAAGTTTCAGAAGTGATTCATTCTGCAAAGTATTAGCAGTAAAACAATGAGAACCACGCACAGTGAGATACTTCTGCTTTGGGAAAATCCACTTTTCAAGGTCTCCTCAATTGCACATTCATCTCATTGTCAGGTTGTCGGTAAACTTTTGTTCTACTAGTACAGCACTTCAGTAACTCACTGCATATCTTGGCAAATCCAGATGTTTTCAAATCGCAGACATTTAGCAACAATACCAGGGTTCAGGACAATGTAATTGATTTGATGAGAACAGGGAGTTTGAGAGAAATTATGTGTTCCACTTGTTAACCAAAATTACCAAAATATAAACGGGGATCCTAGTGCTAGCAATTGTACTATGAGACTCTAATCATCTGATGTCACTCAAGACATTACAAATTTGTAGCATGGCAATACAATTGCTTGATGTGCCTAGTGGAAATGCTATGAAGGCTCATCTGAATTTCTTTTTTGGTGACAAATCACTCACAAGAAAATAGTCAGAAATTCTGAGTAAGTCTCTGAAGTTCTCTATAACTTCAAAATACATGCAGATTTTTAAATTACTTTAAACCATGAATAAGTTTCGTTTTGGGAAATTTCTAGGCATGTCCATTAAAGCCGGTCGGAGTCAAAACCAACATAATGCATAAAAGAGAAACTCAAGTAGAATTTAGATGCAGAGATCCAAGAATTCAAACAAGAAAAATCCTACCAGTTCAAGCATCTGAGAACAGGCACATCTGCTTCACTCATAGTACTTTCTTATCACATTAGTCCACAGGTACCTCTATCACTGCTACACTGAGTAGCTCACCATCTAGTTCATACCTAAGCCTAAATAAGATTCATAACATGAAGATTCTCATATTTTAGTCACCTGATCCTTCTGATGTTTAAGCTTTGATATTGTTAAACAAGATCAGAATTGTTTTCACTTAGATGAACAGCAAAAAGAAGAAAACAAAAACACGGAAAAAAACACACTAGCATGCTTAGTTTTATAAAATCATAGAATACACATAGAAAAATCATTTTTAAAAAATCTAAAATCATAGAAAACACACAGTCAAAAAAAATAGTGCTAGCCTTCTATATAACAGTTTAACAAACAAATTAAAAGAATTAGGTTGTAGATCTTTCTTTGCTTAGGAAGTTCAAAATCCCTTTTCCTACATCTCCAGATACACTGGACTGGACACAACACTTCACAGACCTCTACATCCCACCTTTATTGTCAAAGTTGTGCTATGGTGCAGAACACCATGCAAGTTGAAGTAGACAGACAGAAGCGGGCTAAACAGAGAAAGAAGAAATAAGCCAGAAGCACAACTCTGTAACCCAATGATAAAGGCATCCATCTACCTTCCTGAGTCCCAATCCATGCTCTTAAAATTTTGCTCCATTTATGCATTTTTTTTCCACTACGAAGTTACCTTATAAAATCCATAAATTGTTTTCTTCCATACTTAGGTATGACTGGTTAGATACTGTAAAAGATTCTAAGCATCGAAAGAAGAAAATTATGCATTGAAACTACAAAAGAGTTCTATGAAATTCTCTTTTCTCTTTTAAATGCTTTCACTCCAATAAGCAAGACTGCAAATTAACATATCCATATGCAAGCGTCATTTGTAAAACTACAAACTCAGAGCATCTGAATTTTGACACCTCTCCAAGATGCAACAGTAATAACAGAAGAGTGAGATTCTTGCTGCTAATACAGTGAACGAGCTGGAGGACTTCGCACAATTCTTGCCTATGAGAAAGTACCTTTGGAAACTTAAGAGTTGCAGAGAAAACCTGAAAATGTAAAGAAAAATATTTCTGTACACGTCCCAAAGGAAGCCATCAATCACTTTTTTCCTTAAATCTGAAAAGCAACATTTGAATAAACATTAATAATGAAAGTAATGTTTCAATTAATAGAGAATTTAACTTTACCTTCAGACTCTTTAAGTAGTTGGATAACATACTCGGGTGAAAACGATTTTCTTCAGCAACCTGTTCATCGTATCTTGGTCCTAACATTGTCTTCAAAGGCAAAAACTTCCCTACGAAAGATAATCAGATTTTGCAGTATTTTATGTATACTCATGTATATGTACACTTAAAACTTAGCAATTTCAAAGCAACGTGCTGAGCAGATTTAGAGGTTCACCTTCAATTAAAAATAATTGCAGGAAAAGTATCAATAGCAGTTGAATTGGAATATTTTTAGTTATGAGCTCTCAGAATTCACAAACTTAGAAGGTTAAAGGAAATACATATCAGCTCACCTAAAACAAAGTAATTTAATATTTTTAGCGAGCTTTTAGTGTGATTTAAGCTGTGGAGCTACAGCAAACAACATAACAGAGGGAATTTAAATTTGGAACAGTTAAAAACATGAAAATAGCCATTTTAAATGACAATTTGTTACCCAAACATGTAAATATCAGCTTTGATTACCTGCAAACATAACACAAGGTAAAGATTGCTGGGGGGGGGGCGGGGGGGAAGAAGCTTTTGGTCCAGAACAGCTACACACTACAGATCTTTATAACATGCTCCTTAAGGCATGGTGGAAGAGTTCTGCAGCAGCGTTCAACCTTTCGTCCAAAACACACCACCTAGGTGTGGGTCAGACACTGGGGGAGTTACAAAACCGCAACAAAAAACTTGACCGGAATTAGTGCTTACTGGACTACATCATCACTCCCTAGAAACCAAAGTTTTTTTAACATTGATTTGAGTTTTCCTCCAACACATCTATCACGGAACATCTGAAATAATCTCATTAGAGATCTCTAGCTCTTTCTTTCTGAATCCCAGCAAGCCACGGCCACACCTTTCCCTCGGAGTGCAGCAGGAACAGGTATTTGAGCAGCACGTACTGACCCAACGGCTCTGCCTGTGCTTCCAAGCAGACTAGAACTTAGAGCCCAGGTCACTGCCAGCCCATCCACCTGGGAAGCAGCACACCTCCTCCTGCACGCACCTGGGACCCTGCCCTGCTCTTAGATGTAAAAAGGAATTCAAATTGATTGTAAGAAAGAGACCTGGCATCTATGCCCAGCCACAC